TGCACATCTTTTGCACCAAAAAGGTCCCGACCCCACTGGTCTTGAGAGTGAGTGATTCATTCTTGCTTTGCATGTCATATCATACCCCGGTGAGGACCTTTGTTGCCTTTCCATTTGTTCCTCTGACTTGAATTCCATGCATGCTCGGTTGTGGTTGATAAGTGGTCTTGTTGCGACTTGCATTGATCCATGAACATGGTGAGAACTTTTCGTTTGCCCGATTTTGGTGGATGTCGGTATTGCTTCGAATGTCGTTTGTGGTGGATGTCGGTATTGCTTGCAATGGTCCATGTATTGATTGCCAATAGCCATTGAGAATTCCCAATTTGTGCCCTTTGAGTTATCCCCAAAGTATTTGTGTAGGTTGAAATATTACCTTGTGTGAAATTGTTTGCTTGGGGACAAGCAAACGTCTAAGTGTGGGGGAGTGATTCGGGCCTAATTGTACATGTTTTGCCCCCGTTTTAATTAGGTGTTTGTGGCAAATTCACTACTAAAACGTTGGTTTTACGCTAGGTTCCTCGTTTTTTAGCGTGTTTCAGAATTTAACAGGTGAAACCAGCCTCGGAGTCGAAAGTTGGGCAAAAAGCATAAAAAACCGGGAGTAGAGTTGAAAAGGTCCAGTTGACGGCTATCTAAGGAAGTTCACGGTCTTGCATGACCGTGAAGAAGAGTCCTTGACTGTGAATCGTGAGGCATCCATATCCAAAACAGAGGTTACTGACGCAAGGTTAATCGAACCAAGGAAAAAAAGGCTAGGCTAGGGTTTTGCTTCAAGGTGGATTTTGGGAAGATTTCCTCCAAGGAAAGCTCAACACAAGGGCCAAGGAGATTGGGAGCATCCTCCAAGATGGTTTCCTCTTCTTCTCTTTGTGTTTTCCCCATTTCTAGCATGGAGTAGATATCCTTTCACTTAGGTGTTGTGAAACCCTAACTCTACCATGTATTTTCTTTTATGTGAATTGAATGATTGTCATTTGGTATTGTTTAATTCAATTATTGAGGTATTTTTCATGATTGATTGTGCATACTTGTGCTTGGAAACCTAAGGGTTGTGCATGTTTTGTGCTTAGCATCCTTAGGTTTGTGCATTATGGTGCTTAGAAACCTAAGGATTGTGCATAATTGTGCTTAGCACCCTTAGGTTTGTGCATGTTGGTGCTAGCAATCTAATTAGCCACCTCAACCTCGCTTAGAGAGGAAAATCCCCCTTCCAAGGGAGACTCAATCGAGTTGGTTTTCCTTCACCTTTTAAGCCACCTAACTAGGTTAATTTAAGGAAAAATCGCATCGCATCGCATCTCCCTCTCCGCTTTGGGGTTCCCTCTCAGTGCCACAAGATATGGGTGGTTCATGCTGACTTTCCTACAAAATCGACAAACAAGCACCATACATGGAAATAAACGTCAATCACAACTCATTGGGAGGAAAAAGAATTCCCCCAACACTTAAATTCCTAGTACGGATCCATGCTAATCAAGACAATTAAGCCTAAGCGCACCGCGGCATGGTTCTAGGTGGTCACGGATTATCTTACACAAAAATTCAAACCCGAACCATGCCATGGTTGCTATCAATCACCACTCAATCAAAATATTTCTCATCATTCAACAATTAGCAGTTGGTGGGCAAATTTCACACATAAAAGCAATTCGAATTAAAATCTGCCCACCAAGGCTCAAATAAGCTCAAGCAACATCATTCAATCATCCTAATTCACCTAATTCCTCGCCCTTATGCTAAGTTCAACAATCAATTCACTAAAATTCTCCTCACTTCACTACCAAATCTGATTCTCTCAAAATAAATAAGGTAGAGCTGAAAACCAACCTGGTGACTAAAGTAGGATGTAGGATGAAGTGAGTTGAGGGCCAGGACGGTGAAAATTGGCCTAAAAAAAGACTGTAGAAGGTCGGCGGAGCTTCGTCGGAAGCTCGCCAGACTCTCGTCGGAGGTTCGCCGGCGGCAACTTCACCGGGAAAAAATGTGCTCCAAATCTCCACAAAATCTCGGTGAATGCCGCCTTTGAAGAGGGGAGAATGGATATGTGCTTGGTTTTGGGTTTTGCTCGCCAGAAGTGTGAAATTGCTCTTGGGTAAAGGAGGTTTCCTCTCTAAACTAGCCTAGGAGACATGAAATGCCCAAGAACACCCAATGAACCTCCTAACCTAAAGAAGTCTCCTCTCTAAGCTAGGTTAGAATGACAATTAGATTGATAGGCTTTCACACAATTGTAGCTAGGGTTTACAAACACCCAAGTGAAAGATGGGACTACTCCATGCTAGGAGAAGGGAAAACACAAGAGAGGGAAAGGGAAACCATCAAGAAGATGCAATCCTTGCTCCATGTGCTGAAGAAATCCTCCTTTGGGGAAGAGATTCCCAAAACCTTGCTTGGATAAGAAACCCTAGCTTTTCCACTTCTTTGGTTCGTCACTTTCTCACTCTAAAATCTAAAGAAGGAGAAGTTTCTCATTCTAGATCTTTATCCCCCTTTCTTATTCCTTTCAGCAAGTCTTTTAAATGGAGATCGTGCCCAGTTCACGGTCGTGAAAATTGAAACGCGTCCGTGAACTCAGTAGTGTGACCAAAACTCACCGCTTCATTTGCTCGGGTCACGGTCTTAACGACCGTGAACTGATTGGGCGCCAGTAACCTGAAAACCCTCTCTGTTTGCTCATCGCTTCACGTGTCATGGCTCCAGTTCACGGTCCGTGAACTCCAACGTCTGGCAGTGAACAGCGGCTGTCACCACCTCTTTGCCCGATCTTCGCTCCTTTTCTTCCAGCTTTCGACTCCGGGTTTGTTTTTACCTATTAGGATATGAAACACAAGCAACCTCGAGTAAAACCAACCTTTTTTTAGTTCAATTGCAACAAACATCAAAGAGAATCGGGGATAAAAAGTGTACAATTAGGCATGAATCACTGCACATCACCATTCCGTTCTTGGAAGCCATGGTGCATGGTATGCCAAATACCTCAAGGGGCTTCTCGCCAAGAAGCCAAAATAAGCAACTGGATCCAGGTAGTTTTACTATACCTCTTTGCATCGGAAATCATCATATAGAAAACTCCTTGGAGGACTTAGGAGCAAGCATTAATGTGATGCCTAACAAGCTTTTTAGAAAGTTGCATTTGGGTGAATTAGAGACTACTAGGTTTAGTGTCACATTGGCGATCCCTCTGTCATTAGTCCTAGTGGTGTTGTGGAGGACTTCCTAGTGAGAGTGGGCAAATTCTATTATCCGACGGATTTTGTTATCCTTGATATCAGTGAAGATTTGGATTTGCCACTCGTACTACGGTGCCCCTTCCTTGCCACCGCCAAGGCCTTAATCGATATTAATGAGGGAACATTTATTTTGAGAGATGGAGAAGAGCAACTCAGTCTTTCAATTGACATAAGGCTAAGAATGATGATGTGAAGGAAATGGACTCGAGTGGTATGATTGGAAGTGGAGGTGAGCCTCTCAAGGCGAACCTCACCATTACCCTTGTTCCTTGTGGTGACATGAAACAAGAAATTGAGGTTATCAACCCAGGAGGAAGAAAAAAAAAAGGATCATTTAGAGGAAAGATGAGTCGCGCTTATGTCCGCAAGAAGGATAAGGGAAAAGTGAAGGTAATTGGCCAGGAGGGCCATCCTATAGAGCTTAAGTTGGGAGGTGACAATCCTCGCCCTAAGACCATGGCGGATCCACTTTCGGTGGCTTCGTGCTCTCAAGCATGATAGATCTGCAACGTCGAGCTAGTGACATTAAACTAGCACTTGTTGGGAGGCAATCCAACATCGGTTTGTTGTCTTTTCCTTATTTTCACTTTTTGTGATTGAGTAAAGAGTTCAAGTGGTTGATTGGATATCACTGTCCCTGCATGTTGTCTCTGTTTGATTGGTTTTTTAGTGTGTTTGAATTAGCGGCTGGTAACACCAAATATGGTTTTATTTACCCTCCATCTTAGGGTATGTTTTGTGCCAATTCATATGCTTAAGCATTTAAAAACTGTCATATACATTCCTATTTCGTTCCTATTTGATTTTAATGTGATTATAGGGTGTATTAGTCAATATGTGCAAGTTAGCATGGATTCCATCACCATTATCGAGATCGAATTCAAGAGGCAAGCTCTGCTTTGAGGTCAAAAATAACAAAGGAAACAAACATGAAAAAGAGACAAAATCACTAAATAAAAAGAGCAAAGACGCAGATACTAAAATTAATGGAAGAACATCAACATATAGAAGAGAAACTAACCATTCAAACCAATTAGGGGGCAAAATACAGTAACCATGGTATGATCTTGCCACGACGATCTCGACGTTGAGAACTTCTCCTTGCGTCGCGTGATGGCGTGAGGAGAGAAGACCAGTAGACCTGTTTATCCTGGAGCTTCGAAAACATTAACAGCAAGAACGACCTGCACACGGATCAAACCAAGACCCCAAATATGATATTTTGTTAAGGTAGAACACCCATAACCATGGTTCAACCAAACATGGACCCATCACACAGTCAAATTAAAAGAAGACTTGCAAAATTTAAATTACATGGCTTTGCCTCTTCTGATAAACCATCCCTCCCATATTCTTCCCTCTGCCAAGCAAATCATGAACCAAATTCAGAAAGGAAGCAAGGACCCAAAAACCTAGAGCTGAAAATCCAGAAAATAAAAAAAGAAGAGTACGTACACGATTTAAAACATAACATAACCCCAAAAAGAAAAAGGAAAAGCTTGCCTTGACAGTGGTAGAGAGTCGTGGCTAGCCCTCGTCTCCTCTGCTTCTTCAGGGAATCAAGAATAATGAAAGCTCCTCCATTATCTGCCTATTGTCCGAATCAAAAAACACAAAAGAAAAATTCTGATCACATAGCAGGAACCAACAATTTCAAAAAAACCCAAACAAATTCAAAAACAACTTACTTTGGTCGCCGTTGATACTTGTCGGACTTTGGAGGCGGGACATGTTTACTATATTATGCCAATCTTTGTTGATAGCTTTCCGACTTTGAAGGCAAGCCCTGTTTCCACTAGCATGGCAATCGCCGACGTCGGCCGGCGAAACACTTCATTCTTTCCGATCGGAAAAGTCCCATAATAAAAGATAAGCAGCAATGAGAACTCAAGGCAAAAAAATCCCAAAAACCAAAAACACAGTATGCAAAACGGAAACCGCTTTCACCTGTCGCGAGAACCATCACTGGCGCCCTTTGCCAACCTTGTCATCGCACCATCGTCATCATTCACAGGCACACAAAGATGGAGGTGAGCAGGTTTTTCCTTATTTTTCTTCTTCTCCTGATTCTTCCTCTTCCTGCGTCTTCTTCCAATGAGAGAGAGAGAGAGGGACAGATGAAGATTGATGGTGGGTGGGAGGAGTTACGAGAATAATGAAAATGAATGCATGGGAATAAAGGCAGGAGAGAGAATGAGAAGGAACAAAGAAAGAGAACTTAATTATGTTTTTGGTCCTCAGTAAAGCCTTGGTTAATGGTTCATTACAAAAGAGCCACCCAGTGGATGTGACTATATGAAACAGTAGCTTTTATACTTGTTCTTTTAAGAGTTTAATATGAATCAATCCATTAAAACTTGACCCATTTATATTAGAGTGTGGTTTTGTACCCAACCTAACCGAAATGGATAAACAAAAATTCATGACGGATTGACAGGTGTAATGGTATGTATACAATTTCTACACCACATTCCATAGTAATCTTCTCATCAGAACTGTACCAAGAAAACCATAGGAAAATGAAGAAAAAAACACCACCCACCCCTTGTCTTCCGACTCTTTCGGATCTTCCACAATAGAGAAAAGAAGTAGCTACTTTTCCAAGTTTTCCCAAAGGTCTCTCTCTTCTCACCCTCCACAAACTCTGCTGAAACTTCTCCTTCCACTCAATGTGTTCCCATTCCCCGCTACTCTTTTTAACATACCCCTTCTTCACCCCACCATTTAACCCATGCACTAAAAAACAAAGCTAAGCCTAGAAAATGGCAATCGGAGGACGGTCTTCACGGCCCGGCAAGCGGAGCTCATCCTCTCCCTCTTCCTACACCTCCACCGTCACGACCATCGCCTTCATCGCATTATGCGTCCTTGGCGCATGGATGCTCACTTCCACCTCCGTGGGGCCTCCACAGACCACCAACCTCGCAAGCAAGGGAGCCACCGTCATCGAATCCGATACTGTGGCAACAGAAGTTGCCGATCAGCAACCCCAAAATGTCGAGCGTAGTGTCGTCACTAATGGCAAGAAGCAGTCGGTATTTGAGGACAACCCGGGAGACCTCCCCGCCGATGCCATAAAAAATGATGAGAACCACCAAGGTGAGAGCGGAAAGGGATCTAGCAGCGAGGAGAGGGATAAACACACTCAGATTTCGGAGGAGAGCACGATGACGACCGCTCAAAGTGTCAATCAACAAGTCATTTCCCAAGAAACGACACAGAATAACAATAATAAAGAAGCTGTAGTGGAAGCACATATGGCCGAGGAGAAGGCAGTCGAGGCTGAGAAGGTGGCGAATTCGGAGGAGCCTCAGATCACATCATCAGCAGAAGAAGTTGTTGCTGCTGTTATTCCAGATCATAAAAATCAGGGGAGTGCACAAGGCAATCCAGCAGCAGAAGCGAAAGTGCTTGAGGAGCAGCAACAAAGCAGGGAGGATGCTGGAATTCAGAATCATGTGGTTCCCGCGGAGGAGAATAAGGTGACGGAGGAGGATCAAGCGCAAAGGATGCAACAACAACAACAACAAATGCAAGATGCTCAGAAGGTAGAAACGACGCCACACCAACAACAACAACAACATGAGGAGGTTGGAAATAAGCCGGAGATGATTGCAATGCCCAACGAGGGCCAATTGCACGAGGTGACCAATAATAATAAAGTGCTAGAGGTGGAGAACAACAAGGTAGAGAATCCTGAAAAGTCCAAGGAGGTGTCGTCGGGAATACCCAAGGAGTCGAAAGAGTCAAAGAAGTCATGGTCAACGCAGGCGAGCGAGTCGGAAAACCAGAAGGAGAGGCAGAAAGATGAGACTAAAGATCAAGACAGCGACAATTGGCAGCTCTGTAATGTGACCGCTGGGCCTGACTATATTCCTTGCTTGGATAATGACAAGGCATTGAAAAAACTAAGAACTACAGGTCATTTTGAGCATCGAGAGAGGCACTGCCCCAAGGAACCCCCAACTTGCTTGGTTGCTCTTCCGGATGGGTATAAGAAGCCCATCCCTTGGCCAAGTAGCAGAGACAAGGTACCTTGTGCAGCAACTCCTGCTAACTCACTTTATTTTTTTTAATCTATTATTATTATATATTTTATTACCCCTCAAATTAAAATATAAACTATGACATTTTATTGTACCTATAGTTGTTGTAATTGTGGTTTTTGGTAGATATGGTACCACAATGTGCCTCACACGAAATTGGCGCAAGTTAAGGGACATCAAAACTGGGTTAAGGTCACGGGCGAGTTCTTAACATTCCCCGGCGGTGGAACTCAATTCATCCATGGTGCCCTGCATTACATAGATTTCCTGCAACGGGTAATTATGTATAAAAAATAAATAGATTGAATTGAAGTCAACTTTATATATATTCTTCTTTTCCTCAACTAGAAGCGATTTGTGGGGTTTTTTTTGCTGGTTTCTTAGGCAGTGCCAAAGATAGAGTGGGGGAAACGCACGAGGGTGATTTTGGATGTTGGTTGCGGAGTTGCCAGCTTCGGTGGGTACATCTTCGAGAGAGATGTTCTTACAATGTCGTTTGCGCCCAAGGATGAACACGAAGCTCAGGTTCAGTTCGCATTGGAGAGAGGCATTCCAGCAATATCTGCCGTGATGGGATCTAAACGTCTACCCTTCCCAAGTGCCGTTTTCGATCTCATTCACTGCGCAAGATGCAGGGTACCTTGGCATAATGAAGGTAATCAATCCATCATCGCTCTAGCTAATTCCCTTGTTCAACTTGATTTTTTGCATTTCGGCAACCACCTTGCCATGCTCAAGTGACTTGCTTTGCTTTGCTTTTAGGTGGGTTGTTGCTTCTCGAATTAAACCGCCTTCTGCGCCCTGGAGGCTACTTTGTCTGGTCAGCAACTCCTGTATACCAAAAGCTGAAGGAGGATGTCGAGATATGGCAAGGTAAACCTAGAAAAACAACACAGTTAATCTTAATAATTCTTACAACAATCAAGGTTTTGAACTGGGATTGTCCCCCGCCCCAGCAATGTCGGCGTTAACAGTCTCCATGTGCTGGGATCTTGTGACAATCAAGAGAGACAAACTCAACAAGATCGGAGCTGCAATATATCGCAAGCCCACCACCAACGATTGCTATGACCAGAGGAAAAAGAATGTTCCTCCAATGTGTCCAAATGACGATGATCCAAACGCTGCATGGTAAAGAAAGATTTTCCGTACAAACGGTGGGAATGCAAAAATGAATGTATAACTAACGTGTTTCAGGTTTCAATGGCTACTCCAGGTCCGTACCATTGCAGGCATGCATGCACAGAGTGCCTTCAGAGCCAAGCATTCGAGGCACTCGATGGCCAGATGACTGGCCACACAGGTTGCAGAAACCACCTTACTGGCTGAACAGTAGCCAAATGGGGATCTACGGCAAACCAGCACCTCAGGACTTCACAGCAGATTATCAGCACTGGAAAACCGTGGTCACTGTTTCGTACATGAAAGGACTAGGGATCAATTGGAATGGCGTGAGAAATGTAATGGATATGAGAGCTGTGTATGGTGGGTAAGTAGGTAAACGATTAATTAAAAATCAGATAAGAAAGTGTATGTCGTTATTAACATCCGCAAATGATACTGAGCTCTTTGAATGGGATCCATCTCTCGGTTGGCTTGTGTAGCTTCGCAGCAGCTCTCAAGGATATCAAAGTTTGGGTGGTGAACGTGGTTAATGTGGATTCTCCAGACACACTTCCAATCATATTTGAGAGAGGGCTGTTCGGAATCTACCATGACTGGTGTGAATCCTTCAGCACTTACCCTAGGACCTACGATCTCATCCATGCTGATCATCTCCTGTCAAAGTTGAAAACCAGGTTAAACAACAGTTTTTGCATTTTTTTTTTCTCTCTCAAACAATTAACGGACAGAATAAGAAGAATCCTGAAACTTGATACATGACTGACTGAATACAATTTTTTTTTTGCTGCCAGGTGCAAACTGGTACCTGTACTAGCAGAAGTTGACAGAGTGTTGAGACCAGGAGGTGTTTTCATCGTTAGGGATGAATCGAGCACAATAGGGGAAGTGGAGAACATACTCAAGTCTCTGCATTGGGAACTTCATCTTACCAACACCAATGACAAACAAGTCCTCAGTGCACAGAAAGGCAACTGGCGGCCAGAGACCTTTTCACTTTCGTCATAACCAGCACAATTTGGATGGTGGACAAAGATAAAAGCCTGCCTGCCTGCAAGTTTTTGGCACTGGAACACGAAATGGTCATACTAGAACGCGCGGCTATAGGTAAAATTTAGGGGTAGTTTACACTAGTACAAAATTTCAACAACCACAACTTGTTCCGGAGCATGCTCTACAGAAATCATAGATACAAGTTACCAGGTCCAGCTCATTCAACAAGATCACTTAATTGTACGTAGATATGTCCACCAGAAAGTTTTAGGAACAAATAAAAGCAAAACAGAGAAACCAGTTCCTCATAGCTCTGTGGCAATGTGGACCATTTACTTTGGAGCATCTCATCTAGAAATCAACTTGGTCATTGGATTGCATAAACGGACAACTAAACTGGCGGATTCAAACTTCCCCATTTCCATTAACGAACACATTCCAAGAAGAACAATCCAGGGAATACCAAGTTTTACCAAGACTAAACCAGAAGCTGGTAGAGAAAAGACAACTTAATTCACCCTGTCCTGACCTCTTGTGATAAACTAAGCAGTAACGAAGACCCATATCAAGTTACTATACAACCATAGTCTGGCCTCCTGCTGGGTATTCCATCAGTCGTTGGCAAGAAGCTTCTGTAATTGACCACTCCTGAGACTGAGAGACGAGCTAAGATCTGAATACCCAAGTGACATAGTAAGTAAGTAAGTAAGTAAATTGTGCATAAGAATAACAAGTTATTGTTTAATGGTAATTCAAGAGGTTCAAGTGCACAAACCATCAGAGCCACCGATATGCTTCCCGTTCACAAACACTTGAGGGACAGTTCGACGACCTACTTCTTCCAGTAGAACGTCCTGAATTTGGGAGCCATCATCTGATAGAAACAAAGCACCATTACTGGGTCAGAATTCGTGCTTCCTGTGCCTAAACCGATTGACGGTAGCAAAAACCAATATTACCTCGAAGATCAAGTTCCACGATAAACGGTTTCTCATTTAATTTCTTCAAGATTCGTTTAGCTCTTACTGAAAACCTGGTCAAGATGTACAGCAGGGCAGGATAAATTGCTCTCAATCGTTGCAGAAAGAAAATCATGAATTCCAAATTCAAAACCTCAAAATTTAAGTCACAAAACCCTGAATTTCGACGATTTGTTCACCCAGACAAGAGGATGATCAAAATCAGTTGGAAGGAAATGGAAGAAGCCAAGATACAAGAGAGATACATGAGGTGGAAGGGACGGCAAGGGAAGAAAGCGCATACATACGGGAAGTAGGATTTGGAGAAGATGACGATCCTGTTGGAGTAGATAACATTTTGTACGAAACCAGAGGCTGAATTGGATGCTTTGGCATCTTCGACCAAAAGAAGAAGCAGTGGTACCCAACAAAGGAATTGACGACTCCAAATCATCTCTTCTTCTTCTTCTTCCTTCTCTTTGGTTTCGTTGCTCAGTTCTGTGCCTTCTTACAAGAAGGCGCCTGGAAGCCAGTTTGTCACGTTGATGCTTTCCGCTGTCTATTTTATTTGTTTGCCGTTTCACTTTTTCCATGACCGGGACGAGCCCATTTGAGATTACAACCTTAACAAGTATGGTAGGGCTTGGGCTTGGGCATTGGGAAAAGGAATAACTTTAGGTTGCACAAATATTGTGTAATTAGATTTGTGCTTTTGATTTTAAGTGGCATCAAATCTTATAGTTGAAAATAAATAATTCTTTTATTTTTTAGTTGGTTTTTATCTTATTTGTTATAATTTTCATTTTAATTTTATTTTATAAATGGAACTTCGTTGTGATCTACAAATGAGATTCATTTTCAATATATTTTGATCAATAAAAACTCATACCCCTTGTTACCACCTATTACCACCTTCGTTTTTAACTCGAATTTTGAATAATCTTATCGAGAAGTAATGAGTTCATCATGCTCGATTGGATCTACGAATTTCTGGATAAAACTTTCAGGACCAAATATACCACCCTATTATGGGTAGTGACTGCTGGTAGACAATGATGATAAGTGATAAATGATGGTTAATATATTCCTATCACCATCAGTGTAGTTAAAATCACGGATTAAAACGTAAAAACATATGTTTTTAGGTATCTAGACCGCAATAATGCACTAGTTTTTACCTAAAAACATTCAATATACAAAGTTAGGTAAAATCAGTAAAATCGATAAAACCTCAATTTTGAGACATTTTTATAAGCTTTTGTCAATCGTTTAAAAAGGTCCAAACTCAAACAAAGCGACGTCGTTTACTGTTGTGAAAAGGAAGAAAAAAGAGAGAGGAAATACACACGTTGTTACTGCTACTATAAAGGGAGACTTTATTCATGAAACGATCTGATCCTTTTAATTAAAACGAAATACCCATTGCTCCGGAGCCGACCAAAATAATGTTAAAAAACTTCAATAAAACAAATGCAGCCGAATCTTTTTCAAAAGAAATTCAAAAGAAATGCCCTAAACAGTAGGGCGACCTCAATCCATGGTCAACAAGATCACTCAAACTCAAAACTTCGAATCTCCAGTTTATATACTCATAATCATGAACAAAAATAATGAAACTAGTTCTAACTCTAACTCCTCGTCGAGCTTCTGGGAACCCTTTCAAATGCTGGTGCGGCTACTCGCCTCGCAATGACTCTTCTCGGAATTTGCCACCGCATAACCTTCCTCAACCTGGTGACTGAGAAGGGGTCAATCTCGTCGTTACTTCCTAAGGTCTTTGCTCTAGGAAAACTCCCTGCTAAACGCATTATTAGGGTTCCTGGCTTAGACGAAAGTCGTTCTCGCTTTCATCCTTTATACTTTATTCTCAAACTAGTCTATAAGAGATCTTTACTCCTATCTTATCTTATCGAATTTCTTTACTTATGTCCTTAATCCATAGACACCAAACACTAGGGACCACCGCGTTATGTATCGTCGTCTGGTGTCCCTACCTTAGTATGCCAACCTCGTTACGTATCACCGTCCGGTTGCATACCCAAACTCGACAATGGCACTGCGTTATGTCTCGCCGTCCAGTCCATGTCCGATCAACTACTGTGTTATATCTCGCCATCTAGTAGTGACCCCAACATACTCGATCAACTGTTGCGTTACGTCTCGCCGTCCCACGGTGATCTGACCATCTACCGCGTCCAGTAATGGCCTAACTGCCAGGTGGTTCATCTTATACACAAACAACTATTACAATCATACATTCATACATAGCACAACGCGTGCCTCCATCTTAAGTAGGCGGTGGGATGCCTCACACACATATCGCGCATTACTTAAAAATTAACTAAATAATAACTTGAATGACATAAACTAAAAGACCAACGACAGAGATATTACCACCTTTACACTCAGCTTAGTTGATCGTTGAAGTCACCTTGATAAACTCTGCTCGAGAGTCTTCTCGTCCCATCTTTTTCTTTTCCCATTTCTAACTACTAGCACAGGGCCCCGTCCGTTGGCGGGAGAGTATGATTCATTGGGCTCGAAGAGTTTGATAATGAAATTGAGGTGTACTCAACTTAGAGGTATTAGTGTGATAAGCAAGTAGCTCATTTTTATCTATATATTGTAAATGCTCGGTTGACTGTTTTCTTTGGGAGGTTGTCAATGAATAATTTAGAAAAATAAGGTTATAAAATTAAATACCAAAAAATGCATAAAAACATGTCAAATAGAATACTTATACCTTATATATACATTATATTCACACTCTAATTCAACTATTTATTTGTGAAAAAAATATTATCCCTATAAAAAGTGGTAAAGAACAACATAACAGTTGTTTTCCATGAGATCTTCGCAATAAAAAAATAGTTTTTCCTTTGATGAAGTTTAGAGTATCCATGAAATATTTTCCTCAATAGTCATCTTTGTTATTGATCAGTGCACGGAGTATAAATTCGGAATTACACGCTGCACACATCAGATGAATGAGGTAGAACAATTTGCAAATTGGTTGTCAATAGTTAGTTGAGCAATGTACTCAAACTACTATCATATCTTAAATACGTCAAGCAACCATGTAACTGTTTCATTGAGCGAAGTCATGTAATCTTGGAAGTTAGGAGTTTAAACCAATAATATTGGTGGATTGACGGATAGATAATTGAGACTATTCAACAAATTAAATCATCATTTATTGACCATCACAACCGGTTAGAAAGCAAATTGTTAGCATTTATACCAAGGAGATCCAAAATTTTGGAGTTGTACTAAGTTAATGGAGTCCCATCAATATATTAGTAAGTAAATGATTTCCACTTAGTTTTCAAAAGAGTAATTCAAGTATGTTTTCATTCAATAACGATCACTCGAATTAGTCACTTATAATTTCATTCAAGTTTTGTGGCAGTAATGACTTGTGTGAATTTTTTTAAGATAGATTACCCAAATTCCATCGCAACCATAAATCAAATTCGTAGTTCGCAAATTACCCAAATAAACTACCGTTTGAATTTACACCAAAAAACCTAGGATTTAGAAAAGTAGCACATAGTTTTTACTCATTAGGGTTTAGATGATAGTACAACTCTCCAAAATTTACTATTCAAGATTTAGATGGTGTTTTTGCACCCACCTTATATTGAATAATCATTTTGATTAGGCAATTCAAAATCTTTAATCATAATACAACGAACAAAGAATGAATGAATTTTTTTAAAATTATTTGGACTAAAATTATTTAGTAGCCAAACCTTTATAATTTGGCAAAATAATAGTTAGAACTTTTGAAATACAATATAATAACTGAATCGTTAAATTTTCATCTGCCATCCCGTTCGTTAACTTTGCATCCGACATCCCGTTAGTTGACAATGACGTGGTAGCTAAATTGATGAGTTTGGTGAATTTTAGTGAGGTGATAAAGAGTTAATCGACTTGTGTATGATTTTAATCTATAGATTTCTTTTACATATGCTTGTATGATAAGTGGTCCAAGTATAAAATTAAGGCAAGGCGCCCAAGCCCATAATACATTCTAGCGGAACTCAAATAGAAGAGGAATCAAACTCAAGCACCGGAAGAGAGATTGCAATTGTAGGGTAGAAAAATTATTGGTCCAAAATGACCAAAGAGGCCTTCCTAGGATTGCGCAGAGATCTAGCTTTTTTCAATTGTGCATGTTCTCACGGGGAAAATCTATAAAGGATTGGGAGGATAACGGAGCACGTACTTGTTAACTCATTAATAGTCGATTCTTAACAGTGAAAAATCATACCTAACAATTGATTATTCACAAGTCCTTCAAACAACCACTAATTCTCATTCTAATTCATGGATACATCCCATCCTCAAAATAATTAACTCCCCACGTGAAGAACTCATTGATATTGGCCCCCAGGTTTTACCCTCGGTCACATCCAGAAGCATCATTGTTATTATTACAAAGCAAAGCACTTAATAAAACCTACACCTTCACCGTCCCCACTTTGACCCATCATCACATTGTAAATGGACAACAGAAATCCTTACCGTGTGTTCAATCCCCGTAGCCAATCGATAATCTTCGTGGCTCTTAGTACTGACTACCAATTGATTTGCATCACCGCCATCTCCTAGAGGCTCCCGCTCCGGCCATAAAACTACCTCTCTCTATCATGCTTGTTAAAAAGCGGCGGGTCTTTGTTCCTTGAGGAAGATGCTAAACGTGGGTGGGGGGAAATTAATTATGACCGCTCACTTGATGTAGGGTTTAAAGACTATCTACATGGGGCGAACGTGTAAGGAAACCAGGTGGGTTAGGTTTAGGGCTTAAATTGGTATTTTGGGAATTTCACAATTACAGGTGAATTTATCCAAAACTCAGTTAATGTCCATAACTTCCTCATTTTATGTCGAATTTCGACATGGTTTGAACTAAGAGTTTACATTTTTAGTCCTCAACGATATTTCCGGTGGAATTTGGAATTTTTTTTATCAAGGGCGTAATGGTCATTTTGGCTTAAGGAAAGGACGGGGTGTAACATTTTCTCACCCTTATAAAAATTCCGTCCCCGAAATTTGCTCGGAATTCCTCTTTCCATCAACACCCTTCTTATTCTTCCGTCCCACGATTATTTATTCTTGCCATAAAAACTGCGTTACGAGCCTTTGCTCATCTCTTGTAGTTCACCATACCTCTTATATTTCCGTTTGACCATCATAGGTATCCTCACCTAGCTTGTAGAACTCGTGCAACCTTGAGTGACTCACTGCCCTTTTTGTCTCACAACTTGTCCCAAAAGTGATGAAACAAAATGCCAATTTGGCTTGATATGTTGATCCAATTCACCAAGTAGTTGTTGATGAATCTAAATCCAAAATCGAAATATCACATTTCCTCCCTCTTTAAGAAAAACTTCAACCTCAAAATTTGTTCCTTGTGATGATCTCAAGCCTTGCTTGTGATACTCCTTT